AAAAAAAATACAATACATTTTTTTTTCGGTCTAATAGAACATTTATTAACCATTTAAAACCTTTTTCCAAAAAGGGTAAACTAGCCTATTGTGCGTGAATCAAATCATTATATTTTCGTGATACTACAAACATTAAACATAAAAAGACCACTCTTCAGTTAAAAAAATTATATTCAATTCGAGGAGCTCGATGGCGCGGGTGTTTAGCGCGTTCGGCTGCGATCGTTGAAGTTAAGCAACTTTCGCAGTGATCGGTCATTGGATGGGTGACCAAAAATTATCTATGTCGAGTTCCTCCGTGCTTCGGAAGGCACGTTTAGCCGTTGGTCCCGGCTGCATCTGCAGTCATTAGCACCCGCCAATCCGCACTGGGCCTGCGTGGTGGGTCATGGCCCAATCTCCCTATACCATCCATAGGGAAGGCCTGTGCCCCAGCAGTGGGGATATTTATGGGGTGATGATGATGATGATAGTCAATTCACAACAAAGATCCTAACAATCTGAGTTTCCATTTACCTGACATTTATGTACCTTTTTTCAATCAAACAAGTTGTTTGGATATTTCTGTATAAGTACGTTTGATTAATATAAAAAAAAAATGATGTGGTGTCGTGGGACACCAGGTAGGAACGAAGTTGAGTATATACTATGCATTGGCGGGGTGGAGTGGTAATAGAAAGAGAAGGGATGAGAGAACGAAAAGAAAGAGGGAGAAAGAGAAAGGTATTATACACTACTCGCTTGTGTATGCGACTGTCGCGCCTGCGCACGTCTCATTTAACGGTTTTATTCCACGCACTTTTTTCCACGGATTTTTCTTACGGTTTTACTATCACATTTTTTTCAGTTCGGTCGCGCAGCAAAATCCCTATCCCCTCCAAGCCTGCCGTAAGGAACTTCGTTCCAACAATCTATGTTTTTATGACGTTCCATGAAAAAATATCTGATAAATAAACTCATCATAAACTCTGATGTTGTTTTGATTTTCACAAGCGACGTCGTCGAAACAGGTACACAAAAACGGAGCGCAGTTACCTTATTATAGTTACCTATATAAAAACATCGCTAATACCGACATCTCTCGAAGGATTGCTCAGCTGAAGTAGCAGTGGGCGGGACACGTAGCGAAGAGAACCGATAACCGTTGGGGCGGAAAGGTTCCCGAATGGCGACCGCGCACCGGACGACGCCCAGTGGGCAGGCCCCCACCAGGTGGACCGACGATCTGGTTAAGGTCGCGGGAAGCCGATGGATGCAAGTGACGCAGGACCGATCGTCGGTGTGAAGATCCTTGGTGGAGGTCTATGCTCAGCAGTGGGCGTAGTACGGCTGAGATGACGATGATATTAATACATAAAACTAGTAAAGAAAATAAATAACCATAAACAACAGTGTACATACACAAAACGCAGATGGAACACGCTGTGGCGGCGATATCTATATGCCTCACTTATATACAACGGATGGAGGAAATCATCACTCGCCTCCTCAAGAGATGGCGCTACCGATTCTGCGATCAATACGTATGGGAGCCTACATCGCGCAAGTGAAATTCGGATGGTTACAATTAATATATACAATGCCCGATCAACATCAGACGCCTCGCTCACCCTAAGGTTCGTGTGGTCTAGGGTCTCCTGATGGAGAGGAGACTCCCCCGTGGGGAGATGCCATCCGCCTGGATCCTACCTTTAGAGGCACTCGCCAATTCTCGGCCCGAGGGTCCCCTTAGGATCTCGCCGTCCCCAAACCCGGTGACGCTGTAAAGGTCATCTGCGATCAACGGCATACACACTAAAAGAAAAGAAAATTCAGATGCGCCGCGGTCCCCGAGCAACCATCATCCAGCTCGGAGGAAGATCTCCCCCTTTGGCCTTCCTACAACGCAATTGCGGCCACCAAAGCGAATACGAAGTCAAAAGTAATGTTTCTTTTTTCCATTCTGAACAGTTTTTTACAATGTTTGAATTCCCGTAAATATTGAGTTATTATCAAGGAGTACCAGCTTTGATAAAACTCAATATCACGGGACGTATTCACAACACGACGCGATGCGGTGTACTGACGCGAATTGGTATTCGCTTTTGACTTGATATTTGCTTTGGTGGCACGCAATCCGTGTACCGTGAACAACATCTGACTTTAGTTCTGTAATGTGAGAAATCAACAATCAATCTTTTCAACTTCAACAAAAGCATGAAAAATGGAAATTACGGATCTTGAGATCCAATTGGGGATAATGTGCAGATACATTTTTATTCACCTTTGTATCTCTTATCTATTAGACAAGTCCGTCCGTCCGTCCGTGGTGCTGTTTCAGCGGCCAAACCGTAAGAGATAGATATAGAGAATGTTTAAGTTATAAGTTAAGAATAGTCTGATAAGACTACAAACCGGATGTGAGTAACGTAGCACTTCCGGTTTTCGAGAAATCACGTGATTTCTATTTCAAACGAAACCAAACAAAATCTCCGAAGTTCTCAATTAAATAAATACATTTTTTTTTTGGTGAACATTTGGTTCACTGGTTTGCTAGTATTACATAATAGTTGCTTTATTTTGCCAATCCAAGACCGGAAATATACTTACTTCTGTCATGTTATTGATCCACGCTTCTGTAAAGTAGGTAAATAAAAACAAACCATACGTTTTCCTTTTAATTGGTTAATATATTAAAATGAATTATAAAAAAAACATTAAATTAGAATGTAGTATAAAAAAATTAACAATATTTGATCCTGATTATACTTTCTCATTGATTTATAAAACATTAAAATAAATAAGTATTTTACTTAATACTAGGTAACATTTTTTTTTACAATCTATTGCAATAAAGAAAATATAACTACAAAAAATTCCACGCGGACCAGGCAGCAGACGGGACTCGAACCCGCACCCTTCGCAATCCGGGCGAATGCCAATGTCATTTGACATTGTGGGTTACCTATAATGCGAAGAGATGGCGCTGCCTTGCAGCTTAAGAATGGCTGGAAGAATTTCGACGCGGTCCGTGAGGGCCGTGGCAGCATAATTGGTCAGTGCATTCGCCCGGATTGCGAAGGGTGCGGTTTCGAATCCCGTCTGCTGCCTGGTCCGCGTGGAATTTTTCTAGTTATATTTTCTTTAGATTTAAACATCAAGCAGTTACATGCTTTAAAATAATAAAAAAGATATAATCTATTGCTTTCCTTATTATCAGAAAGATAATGGTATCATTACATGTTTATCAATCTACTCAGCGCGATAAGGATCTTTATAAATGAACTAGCTGACTCGGCGAACTTCGTACCGCCCAAAAGTAATAATTTGCAATAAATTAAAATTGCGACTATAATTTGAGATTTAAACTATCCTATCTCTCAAGTTGGATCGAACTGCACATGTTGTGCGAATTTTATTATAATCGGTTCAGTGGTTTAGGAGTCCATTGAGGACAAACATTGTGACACGAGATTTATATATATTAAGATGTGAGTGACAGTTCAGTGGGCGCCACCGTCTATGTAAGTGACCGTAAATAACCTTAGATTAAAACAAAAAGGGAAGATACGGAACTCGCGGCTCAAAAGCGCTCTAAGCTCAAAAGTGATCCGCTTAAATTGTGGTGCATGACCATAATTCGCTTTAGTCACAATTGGACATTTAAACACGCTGCATGTGCACTCAGTATAACAATATTGCGTATATTCTGTGTTATGAAGATAAAACAATGCCTTCGATGCTTTTATAAAGAACACAAATAGTTCAAAGTCAAATATCAAATGCCTCGGAAACACTTTTCATTCGTAAAACTGTAAAATATTTTTTTTTCTCAAAACTCACGGTAAGTCGTGAATGGTCTGTACATAATCGCCATTCTGTTATCAAGAAAAGGACAACAATACAGCTCAGCGGTACGGACTCGGAAGCGGACTCGCCGTTTCGCTCGCGCTGCGTTGAAGCGTACAGTTCTGTCAAGCTCGCTCAATTCAATGTTTATATACAGAAGTGTGCGTGTGTGAGAGTTGCATATGTAGTTAAGTCGGATCATATGTTATTTGATGCTAATATGAGCGTACCGTATCTGCCTTTTTGATTTAATCTAAGTAAAAAATATTATGTTTACAAAGACGGTGACGTTGGTTCCAATTTTCGCCATCTTCATAAACATCTTTGTCGCACTATGTTACAAGATTTATACGTATACTAGTCTCAATAAAAACTAAATATCATAAAATGATAAGCCACACATACCACGTTGGTCATACACAGTAAAAAAAATAGGAAACTTCATTTCAAATCGGTTATTTAATTTTGTAGGTACATATATACAGGGCGTCCCACGGGTTCGTCACACGGAGGGAAAGTATATTAAAAAGTATATTGAAGATAGGATATTTTACAAAAAGGAGGCATCATTTTATTATCAATAATAAGTAGAACTACTTTCACAGTTTTTAAAAAGTGCAACAAAACAAGACATGCATTTTATGATAACCGTCGAAAGAGAATTATTTTTCCTAAATAACATAGTATTTTAAATGAAAGAAAAAACAACGTTTGTCTTTTATTTTAATAATGAGTACAAAGTACAATAAAAAAGAAGCAGTGCAAGGTTTGTATAAGTCTCGCTTTCTTATTTTTTTACGTACTTTTAAGGAATTCTTGTATTATTAAGTGAGCAGGTAGTAGTTAGTAAATACTTTGATATGATAACATTAGCTGTCGGAAGCACGAAAAAGTAAGAGGAATTTTTCCTGAACCAAATTACAATTAAATGATCTTCCTTTCATTTAAAATGCTATGTTATTTAGGAAAAAAATAGTCCTTATGATTAACCCTTTCGAAGGTTATCATGAAATATGTCATGTGTTATTTTTCAAATTTCACGAGTTTGTAACAGCCGGATATTAAAAATCTCTGTAACTACAGTTCTAGATGTTATTAAAAATAAGATGATGTCTCATTTCAGTAAAATATCCTATCTGCAATATTTAATATACTTTCCCTTCGTGTGAAAAACCCGTGGGACGCCCTGTATATATATTTTGCCCTCTATGTTTAACTAAACCATAGATTTAAACTATTCAATAAATTGAAAAATTAGTTATGGTCGATTATTCCGTATTTGTGATTGCGATGTTTGCTGGCTCAAAAAAAACCTTAACAAATATGTCATCGTTCTAAAGAAAATTTTATTAGAGAAAATTCTACTTGGGCCAGGCATCAGGACAGAATTGGAAGCCGCACCCTCTGCTATCCGGGCTGACACATTAACAAATTATTCTACGGACATCTAATGGCATGTCGAACTAGCCGGAAAATGCATCATATCTTGCCTGAGGCCTGAACTCAATGGATATTTTCTAGTACAATTTTCTTTAAGTATTTAGAAACATAGCAATTCTTAAACAATAAAAAGATAATAAGTAGGTACTCACCTAACGACAGTATCAAAATTGTAGAATTAGCTTTCGGTTAAGTTTAAAGTAAATAGATAAGTTATTATAACATAGCTGTGTAACTGCCGTGGCACCACATCCTTACTTAATATACTAACTTGATACCTATTGAAATTACTTAGTGTTATATATTTTAAAAACAAGCTTTTATTTAATTTATTATTAAAGGCAGTTAAGAGCAGCAAACCCTTTCACTGATTACTCTTGTCTTGGGAGTGCACGAAAAATTTATAGCCTGCCATATTGAATATAGAATGACTAACCACGCATTGTCATCCAAATTGTGTGTTTAAAATTTCATCTCAATCTGTTAAGGATGAACAGACATATTTAAAAACCATTGCAAGTTAAAAGAAAGCTTTTACAATATCCAAAATTTGGGCGCGTCTAATTTCTAATATTGTATAAGAAAAGTTCTGATTGAACTATGCATTAGCAGTGCGGACATTTTCAGGCTGATTCATCACCAGACGAGTCATTAATGACTTCAGTAAGGTTGTAATGACCCCACGGTAATGTATCCACGTTATTGTCTAAAATAAATCGTTTTGGATCATTAGACGACAGGCCAAATTTTCTTACTTTCTGTGTGTACAGATCATGATTTACTGCCTTAATTCTGTAAAAATGTATATATCGTCTCTCGTTTCTGTAAAGACAGTTTCTATAATCTTTAACTTGAAAGTTATCAGTGACCGCTCTTGGTATTCCTGCTGCTTTTTTGATTGTATTATTTTCTGAGTCCACTACATACATTTTAGGACGCAACCCAACAAATTCCTTAACAACTTCTCCTTTCATTTCATCTTTAAAATAGCCGAGTGCCATTTTATTCACTAACGGTATTTGAAATTGATTTTCCACTTCATAATTGCTCGTATCAAAGTATTTATTCAAATCAGGCTTAATTTCTTTATAATAATCGTGTATTTTAATTTGGTAAATAAAAGAATCTGTATCAGTGTACAGTAAGAATAATTTGTCACCAAACCGTTTTTTCATAACATTGTAGTGAAAATCGTACATATATTTTTTTGATAGATCCAATATGCTAAACCCAATGTATATTGGAGTCTTGAATACCACCTTCGGTGGTTGCAATTTCACTGCTATTGTGCTTTTGGAACATATAGTATGGCTGCTGTAATTGGGTTGTCCTATAATGTTAAAAGCACCTCTTTTACGTCCTATATTTCCCCAATGATCGAACAGTTTTATAGTTGCATAATCACTTCGCTGCATACTTTTCCCATATATGACATTGTTTAATTGCTTAAATATATTTTTATCAAACTCTGTTTTAGCTATACTTCTTCTTTCATTGTTGAAATCAATGTAAGGCTTGATCCAGGCTTTTTGTTTGAATTTGAGTACTCTTTTTATTTTGTGTATCTTTAAACCATGTTCCATGCACAGTTTTAGGTAGGAATAATGTATTACGTAATTTTGTTTGGAGGTAAGATTAGTTGTAAGGAATTCCGTATTTGAAAGGGGGACAATTTTCTTTTCGGCACAGAATGGCAGATCAGAATGCATGTCGTGAAGTTCTTTTGGGTAAGTGAGGTCTACTTCTAAAATATAACCGACGTCTGAATCTTCGGGGACGTTGTATATATCAATGGAATCAACGTCAACCCACTTAAATCCACTGTATGGCAACGGCTGCGACATAACATACCCGTACAAATTGTTAGCATCGTAGTACATAATATAGGAGTCCTCCAGTTTTGTATTGTACGTCTTCAGATATTTGTTGTTTGCGACCACGTGCCGCTTGATACAATGAGCTATGCCACCCCTAATGCCCTTATTTATAAAATTTATCATTTCGGGATCAGATAATAGCTGCAACTTCATATTTGTGTGTTTTAGCATTGCATCCCAACTAAAAGTGGAAAGAGAATAATAATGTGCCAAGTCTAGGCCATAATTAATTTTGCAGGAACGTCGCAAATTTTCAATTACGTCAGCTAGCAACAAAACATCAGTCTTTAGGTATAAAATTGAGTAATCTAGAATGGTATTACAGCGAAAGTGATCCCAAACTTTTAGAGCATAGACATATTTCTCGTCAGTGATATCACTTTCGGTCAGATCGTCGTAAAAATGAAATTTTTCTGGTAGAAAGGTTTTATTTAAATCTTTGAATGACTTTATGTAATTATATGGGAAGACACCTTTTTTTCTCAAAAACTGTAAATCTTCATTCGTCTTACAAATTTGCTTGATTTCATTAAAATCGCATTCATCTAAACCTTCTACACATCTCTTCAAAGAATCTTTAACAAATTTGCGAGAATCAAGAACACGTAATTGTAATGTGTTGAAACCAATACTGAATTCTGTGTGCATTGCAAAATAATTGTGTAAGTCACCCAGAACATTACTCCAATTACCGCCTCCTATAAGAAAATGACAATCGTATTGTTCAAGATTATGAAGAAATACAGGCACGTGTTGAATATCTGTGAATATTTTATCATGTTGTCTACAATACTTTAAATACTGTTCTGTTAGATGATTTTTCAAATTAAAAGTAAATTTACTAACACAATCTGGGCCTACATAGGTTTCTAACTTGGAATATGTGTCATCGATGCATTTTATATAATATCCATAGCTATAAGGTACATGTTTGCGAATATTTCTAGCATACGCTTGTGTATTGTTCGATTTGTTATCCATAACTTCCAATAAAGCCTCAAAATCAGCATAAACTACAAACGGCACGTCTTCTAAACGTTCCGTATTACAGAAGGACATAGATTTTTCTTTTGGAAATGCTATTTTAACTTTTGGACATTCTTCTTGTTGGTGCTTATGTAAAATTGCATGTTTATCAAAAACAGTTAAACAGCCATCGCACAAATGTTTGTTAATAGATAGAGGACAAACCAAACCTTTAAGATCGCTGATGTAACAGAAACGAGTCCTATCATTATCGTGCAGCAGTAATAAGTTAATGTGTTTGCCTTTGCGAGTCTTTGTGTGATGCACGGGACCTCCTATTTCAGAATCCTTAAGTTCATAATTATAATTTAACATGAAAACATTGATACTAAATGTGTTCATATCTTCAATATGCGGTATATCGTCTAATTGGACTAGAGAATCGATGCCATCCATAACTAGATCATCAGAATATTCTTCCAAAAGTTCAAGCTCAACTTCCGGATGAAGGGCTGCTAACACAGACCATTTAAAACTCGTATCATCATTCACCTCTAAATCAACAACATGATCAAGGAATGACTCGGGCAACTGTAATGATGGTGATGCAACAATTTCGTGAATGTGTAAGTATAAATTCAGAAATTGTATACTTTCTGGGGTGCTGATGCAGGTGTTATATTTAGATTGAATATTTTTAGCTGCATCATCGACAAATGGTTCGACGCCAGCTTCCAATGTTATATCTGCCGTTGCACCAAAATTATAAGTTTCATATTCATAATCATTGCGGCAAACTTCTAAATCCAAAGTAACCTTTACTTGGTTTGCATTTATTACGGATTCTCGTATCAAGGAAGATATAGTGTCATGCAGATCGTTAAAAATATCTTGTACACTTGTCGCATGATCCATTCCGTAAAGAGTTATTGTGTAAGATTTGGTTTTCCCATCAAACGCAGATTCATATTTTAGAGTTACGTCATTATCTTTTACATCGATTTTGTGTTTAGTGCTGTGAACCTTTTTATTTGTGACATTTTTACTATGTTTCCTCTCTATTTTTCTTTTTCTAGTAGTGCTAGGTTTCGAGGTGTCCATGTTTTGAAATATATTGTAGACGCACGCCACTCCTGAAAAGATACAAAAATATACTGCCTTTTGCGAAAACAACAAATGGGTGTAAAGTGCATATTTTGTCGTGTAATTTTTTTCCAGCATTCTGCAACTAACAAGTTAGTTGGCGTAATAGACTGATTCTAATAAAATTTAAAAGTTTATTTTACAAAAAAAATAGAGTCTATTTAAGTATTTAGTGACGTGTCCTCAGCTAACTTTTTCTCGAAGGTCACTCGCCTTGACTATGTTCAAAGTTAAATTATTATATAATATATTTATTATTTAATAATTTAGTAAAAATGAGGCTGTTTCAGTAAAAAAAAACAAACTAACTGAAGTAAATGTAGTATCCTATTGTTTAAATTATTTTTATCTATTGAAACACAAAAAATTTGGCATCAAAGTTGTCCAAGCAAAATCGTAAGCTGAGGCAGCAGCAGAATGCTGACCGGCATACGTAACGTGAGCTACCGTGTCATTATTTATTACCGGATGACGCGAGACGTGTCATATTTTTATAACCCACGTACCTACTTGTGCTTTAACGCTTGAATTTTTTTTTGTGGATATGAAAATGGTTGTAATGAGATCGTGCACAGCATTTTCCTTCCAGAACATGATGAACCTCTTTGGTAGCGTTTCATTTGACAATTTTATTCCTATGTTTTGGTGGCTCAATTTGGAGGTCGGTCTTTGAATTTTTATGTCTCTGACATAGAAAGCTTTTAATAATAATTTTGTTTAAATATTGGTTTGGTTATAAATTAAAATATTACGGCAATACACCAATTTAATAGAGGTTTTCTTTTAAAATTTTTCACTTTTGGTGTTAAGGTTTGGATTTGACTGGTTGAGCGTGATGTTATTTATTCATTATCATCTATTTTTGTGTCTTTCTACAAACATTGAAACTGGAACAAATTATACAACATAATTTTTTTTTTCATTATTATTTCTAACATAAACTACTTTTATCAAGTACAAGCAAAAGTTATATGTAGAATAATTTTAAATTAACCCTCTTAGATTTAAACGAAAAGGGAAGATAAGGTACGCTCATAATAGCATCAAATAAAATATGGTCCGACTCAACTACATAAGCAACTTGTGAGAGTTGTCACACACATACACGCACACGTCTGTATATAAACATTCAATCGCGCGAGCGAGACAGAACTGTACGCTTCAACGCAGCGCGAGCGAAACAGCGAGTCCGTACGGACTCGGAAGCAGACTCGCTGTTTCGCTTAGCTGTATTGTTGTCCTTTTCTTGATAACAAAATAGCGATTACGTAAATAACATTTACGACAAACCGTCATTTTTGAGAAAAAAATGATTTTACAGTTTTACGAATGAAAAGTGTTGCCGAGGCATTTGTCATTTGATTTTGACTATTTTTGTTATTTATAAAAGCATCGAAGGCATTGGTTTATCTTTATAACACAGAATATACGCAATGTTGTTATATTGAGTGCATATGCAGCGTGTTTGAATGCCCAATTGTGACTAAAGCGAATTGTGGTCATGCAACACAATTTAAGCGGATCACTTTTTTATTTTTATCTAAGGTTGGTACAGACTGAAATACATTACGACACAAACGTTATTCATATTGAGGTAAATTATTTATATGGTAAAATGTACCTGTGGCTTCTGCTGTTTTGGCTAAGTTTCTATCATATATATATTTTTGTAAATATTAAGAATAATATTTTTGTCAAATGCGCGAAGAGGACTTTGTTTGGTCGATTCTGTTTAGGAGATAATAGCAACAGCGCTTCATTGAGTTTTGGACCACGACTTGGCCGCGGGTTCTGTAGAATGGTTTGAGAATTACTAGTGACAGCACCAGCATCATTCATTTTATAATTCAAAACAAAAAAACAACTACAACGTAACGAAAGACAATTTAAAATGACGAAATATATATTATATGTGCATCACCAAACAAAAAACAAAGATAATATCAAGATTTTCATGCAATGCGCGTTCATTACTTAGTGACACGATGATTCATCCAGTAAAAACTTTTGGTTTGGTCGTATTATACCTAAACATTTTAATATGCAGGTTGCAAACCTGTGTTGCTTTGGGTTTTTCCACAGAGCGATTTTGTAATTTTTAATCATATTTTAGTTTTCGAACGACTCTTATTATAATTTAAATAGTTTATTTTTTTATGTACTTAGTTGTTGAGATGGTTGAGCTTGTACATTTTACGCATAAATTGACAAAAGATTAAAAATATTATTAACCACAATGAGTTGAAAATGTGCACCTATAAAATAACCTTTTTTATATCTTTTTAATATTTGAATAACAAATTATTGTAACTAACATTAGGCAATGATTATGATTTACATCCGGAATAGATTTTGGTGTACATGTTTCTTTTGTAGCGATGACGATATGAGGGTATTTTAAAGGATTGCTTGATTAAAAATTGAACTGACCTTACGAAAACATTATCATTACCCTATTAATGTCCCCATTAGGGGAGCACAGGTCTTCCCTATGGATGGATAGGAAGCATATACCACATCCCACTAATGAGTGCAGATGCAGCCGTGATCAAAGGCTTACTCGCCTTCCAAAGTATGGACGTGCTCTACATAGTTAATTCGGTCACCCATCCATTCGATATCTATCCTTATGAAAAGTTGCTTAACGTCCATATTTGCATAGGGAGCTAATGCTGTAATACATACGTCAACAAGCTCTTTGCACTTTTAGCCTTGAATAAGCTGAAGGTCAGATAAGCTAAGTTTATAAATAGAAATCACAAAATAGCTGTCTGGATTTCGTCCATACTAATTAATCCTTTAGAGGATATATTAATGATATGTTTTTTTTGTTTTCAAGGCTTTTTTGTGATATTATCGATACAATAAATATGTTATTGATTTTTTCATTTAACAAGATCAAGATTAGTTATATGAATATTCACAAACATTACTTATTTTATCGAAAATATCAGTAATAATGTCTTGAAAACGTTGAATAAGATGAGTTTTGCAGAAACCGGTGTCTTGGCTCTATACCTACTACACACAGCACAGCTTACGATAACCAAACGCAATTCCTGCTTTAAACAAGGTCATCAATAAACATTATCTAATTTAGGAGTAGATATATATGGTACTTACGAAATGAGCTAATTAATTTTCATATTGGTATAAAATTAATAACTATGAATATAGTGAAAAACTTACCAATTTGTGGGATTTCTTTGGCGCGAAATTAAATGACAGAATAAACTCTACGTTTTTTTTTTGTTGAAGTTCTCCCGTTTTAGGGAAGGCAAAGGGAACAATGCCCATACAGCCTGGTCTTTAATTAAATTAAGCTTCTTTTTGTTTTTACATTAGAATGTTGGTGCGACGCATTCTAATGTTTCTTGGAGTGTTTGGCACGAAATGTATCGAGTTGGCTTTTTCGATAAGCTTCTGTGAGGTAGTCAACACTACAATAAAATTCTCACGTCCACTTGACCGGAATAGCGTATATTTTAACGATTCCACTAATTCTTCAGTTACGCAGACAGTTGTTACACAAAACCACACCAATTTTATTTCACAATATCCACTATGAACGAATTTAAGAATAATTAAATTAAGACGCCAACCGCACTCGGTGAAATCCCGCCAAAAAAACCGAACTCTACGTAAAATGTCAGTATTGTCAGTCGAGCCAGTTGCAGCGTGACCAGTTTATCATTACACGATCTACCAAAAGTGTTTGTAAATCTACCAGATTCTACCAAGCCCTGTGGTCTGTATGGGCGGTCCTTATATGTGCGCTGGTTGTGTGTTATTTTTAAGTAATTAAGTGGAATGAAACAAAATTGCAGAAAATGCACTACTTTGTTATTTTTTGTGGGAAATAGAGGCAATTTGAACAAAAACTCATTGATTCAATATGTGAATGACCTGAGTTCTTTAAATGTTGAAAAAATTATATTGTTTACATTGCCTTATTGTAGAAGTCTGGCAAAGGAGGAAAATATCTTAAGATATAAATTAAATATGCTTTTGTTCACAATGTGTAGTGAAAAATTTCATATTATTGACACTAACAATTATAGGTATGTTTTTATCCTTTCGCCTGTCGAGTCAGACGGCAACAAAAAAATATGTAAATATCTGTCTACTAACCGCCAGACGGCAAGTGGATGGTTGGGAACTTCACATGTGAATTATTAATATATTGGACTTAAGCTTCTTGGGTTAGAGCTCAAAATAACTGCTAGATGTTTAAATCTAAAGAAAAGTTTACTAGAAAAAAATCTAAAAGTTTACTAGAAAAGGGTTCGAGTCCCGTCCGCTGCCTGGTACGCGTGGATATTTTTCTAGTAAACTTTTCTTTGGATTTAAACATCTAGCAGTTAAATGCTTAAAAATAAATAAAAACATAACTATAATTGCTATTTCTTCTTTCAAATGTTTAATACTTGAAAAAGTATTCATTTGACATTGTGGGTTACCTACAATGCGAAGAGATGGCGCTGCCTTGCAGCTTAAGGCTAGGAAAATTTTGACGCGGCCAATAGGGCCGTGGTAGCATAATGGTCAGTGCATTCGCCCGGATTACTAAGGGTGCGGGTTCGAGTCCCGTCCGCTGCCTGGTCCGCGCGGATTTTTTTCTAGTAAACTTTTCTTTACATTTAAACTAACAATTATGTTAGAAATCTATATTTGACCAAAGATAAATATTATCTTTCTTATTATTATAAAAGACAGATAGCTAAGTCGCTATCATATTATATTTATTTAACAGCCAAAAACTTGGCTAAACAAATTGCTTTTATTGAGCAATGTTCTATTGACTTGACAGTAACTCTTCTACTGACAAATTACAAAAAAATAATAACTATTGTTTAAATAAAATAATGAGACATCAGACAACTCCTCTTGCTTAATAATAAATAATTATTGTAATAACTTGCATAAAAATATTAATTTAATTCAGAAAAATCCCAAACAATTAAAAGAAAATGTAAATTTTATCAACCTGATGCCCGTGCCTGATGCATATAAATATTCAAGGAATGATGGGTAAGGACTTAGAAATTGAATTATTTTTGAATTGTAACAATATAGATATATTTTGTATCACAGAACATTGGCTTAAAAGTCATCAATTCATCTTTAATTTTAATAATCATCAGGTTGGTAGTTCGTTCAGTCGAGAAGATGCGATTCGCGGTGGCTTTTTAATTTTATTAAATAATGCACTTAAATTTAAGGAACGTAAAGATATTGTGAGCCTCTCGGTTGAGCGAACAATAGAGATTGCCTGTGTGGAACTGGACCGGCTTGTTGCATTGAGTGTATACAGACCTCCTTCAGCATTGTATGATTGTTTTGAAATTATTATGGATGAAGCTTTAGAAAAAATTGTCAACACTGGTAAGCGATTAATTGTTTGTGGTGACTTTAATATTAATCTATTAGAAACCTCTAGTTTGAGTATTAAATTAAGAAATCTATTTCAATCATATAATCTTGAAAACTTGTTCATGGAGCCTACTAGAATAACTGCCACTTCGGCCACTTGTATTGACCATATTTATATGGATATAATACCACATTCAAAAGTAATTGTTAATCAACTAGGT